CACTAGATGGATTATAAGAAGCAAACAGGGAGTAGTTTGTGCTTGTGGTATGACAGCCTTACAACAAAACCTTTTGAAATGGAAGCTACACTGCAGAACTATTGTCAAGATGCACGGTCGTTACATTGAGCATAAGCAAACGTGAGGACATGGACTGTAACGACTTGGTGTTAAATTGAGTTAAATTAAGTTTGCATAAATAATTAAGTAAATTTGTTGTTAGTTTAACTGAACATTTTCTGTTTTGTTTTGAACTTGTAAAGTGCATCTTGAGCAAATGTTAACTCACAGTCGGACTTACAGTAAATTTTAATGCTTGAAATAAGCCCAACAAGAAAAATAGTATGTAAGCACATGAATGTTGCAATTTTACAAACTTCACGGTAAAATCGTTTGGGGGGTGTAGAGTTAATGATCTCCACATCCCAGGGTGCTACATCATACAAAACCTTTTGAGTAGGCCTACACATGGCTTACGCATCATGCCATCAATCAAGGAACCGCACGCTCGTTAAGTCAAACTCCAAGACTCGAGTGAGTCCCATAATATCCAATTAGATATTGACACGTTTAGATATATCGCATGCTTGTTATTTCGCACCGATGGACTTTCCGCATGGTGGCGCAGTGGCGCTATAATACAAAGACGTTTATGGATTTGACTTAGGTAATATAAAAACCAATTTGCGTTCTTGGAGTTTATTAAAAGTACTGTAATCTGCCATAACCAGTTAAAAAAACGGGAGTTGAAAGTTAAAGGAGTTATATTAATATATTTCATAATGAAACAAACAAAAGTTAAATTTTAATTACTGAAGAAAAAAACGAAAAAAAAATTGAAGTGCTTTTCGTTGACCACATTTTACAAAGATAATTTTAAAGCAAAGTTCAGAAATTTTAGAAAAATAATGAAATCCAGTATTCTTCATTACTTAGCATGGTATGATAATTTTAAACATCAAGAAACGTAATTCCTTGAATATTAGGCTGATGGTTAAGGGTAACATTTGTATTAAAGTATAATAAATAAGGGCCCGGCATGGCTAGGTGGTTAGGATGCTCGACTCGCAATCTGCGGGGGCGCGGGTTCTAATCCCCGTCCCAACAAACATACTCCCCATGTCAGCCGTGGGGGCGTTATAAAGTGACGGTCAATCCCACTATTCGTTGGTAAAAGAGTAGCCCAAGAGTCGGCGGTGGGTGGTGGTGGTGGTGACTAGCTGCCTTTCACTTCTAAATTAGGGACGGCTAGCGCAGATAGCCCTCGTGTAGCTTTGCGCGAAATTCAAAACAGACAAGCAAATAATAAATAAGTATTCCTACATGTGTTTCTTTTGTAAATATTTATAAATTGTTTTATTCATTTTATATTAAATGTTTGGCAGAATAATTATAAGAGTTATTAATTAATAAAACTAAATATGAAGCCCAGACTATGATTCGATTCACCATTTGACAGAATAATTACATAATAAAGATTAAATTATTCACTTCGAAACATAGACGTCGCTAAAGATGGCCTTCCGACTGTCATTTTTCTTATTCCTTTACGAACTGTAAGATAAGAGTTGCGTAAAAAATAACATTCTAGATTTGACAACCATTTTATGGTAAACGTGTTACAGAACATAAATACGGAAAAATCTTATGCTTCCGATTTAATGAGACGGTTTCATTTATATAATGCAACTCTTACCACCTTTAGAAAATAAATCACTCCAAACATGGACATTTTTTCTTTAACTCTTATACGAATAAGTATATTATCTTGTAAATGATTTTTTTTAGTTTAATCTTATATGTTTCAATGTTCTTTCATGTGTCTTCTTCGAGACACGAAGTTTATCGGTGGGCTACAATGTTTTATTTCCACATATTATAGAACCTTATGCCTCTAAAACGTGATG